TGTGTGTGTGTGTGTGTGTGTGTGTGTGTGTGTGTGTGCAGGAACGCACCCCTCAGAGTCTGTTCCTGTGCACCTGGGCATCGTGTGCACACGAACCTCAACGGATCTGAGCACGTGAGCGTCAGGGAATCTGCACAGACGCGTGCGTGTAAGCGAGCCCCTGGCTGTGCCTGGGTCCACCTGCTTCTGAGCCTGGGTCTGAACTCCTGTGCGCATGCGTGCATGCCCCACCGAGAGCCTGTGAGCATGCCCCCGTGGGTCCCAGCGTGTGAGGCAGGCCTCTGTGAATGCCTCTTTCCCCAAACTCATGGTCTCCTTATCCTGGGCTGCAAGACTACATTTCCCAGCACCCCTTACAAGTAGGTGTGGCCGTATGACTGAGCAGGGGCCGCTGCTAGTAGCCGCCTGGGAAAGTCTCCCGGGTGCGTGCCCTTTCCCCTCCTTCCAGTGACCTCGCAAACTGCCTGCTGAGTCCGGAGGAGCTACCAGGAGGGAAGGAGGCTGGATTCCCAAAGCGCCCCTTGGGGCGGAGCCACCTGCTGATGGGGAAGCACCCTGGTGGGCTTTCACTTGAGTGAGATGCTTCCCTGGAAGAAACCACTGAGATCTGGGGGTTATCTGTTACAGAAACACACGTTGCCTTCACAAGTACGGATGCCGAACCAGACCTGTGTGCCCCCAAAACCCGTGGGCTTCAGGTAACAAGCCAGGGAAAGGGCTGGAAAGATGAAGCAGCGTACGATGCGGGACATTGGGTTCCAGCCTCTGCTTGTGATGCCCTACGGGGCAGAGCGTGCGCCGGCGGAGGCTGAGGCCCCAAGGGAATGTGCCAGGAAAGTTGGGGTGACGATGCCGGCTTTTCCTTTCGGCTTTCAGTAATGCATCATAAGAAGACTGAGTTAGGCAAGAGTGGGGGCTTTGCAAGCAGAGACGAAGGCAACAGAGAGAGCCCGGAAACGCGGGGCTTGCCAAGCGTCCAGAGAGCCGATGCTTCCAAACTACAAATCGCGAGAGAGACCAAAGATGGCTGTGAGGGACAATGACCCCGTGAGATGTCTACCTGCACAAGGAGGCCTCGGCTTCGACTCACAGATCAGATGGAGGGTATGGCCTCCCCACCTGCTGTTTCGAAGGCCTTCAGAAGCGTCATCGCTAAATGAAGAGACAGGCTCTGATTCCATGATCAGAGCAACATGGAAATAAACGGGCTTCGCAAGTGTGTCTGGGAAAGAACTCTGAGGGCAGCCGCTTTGACTGCTGGAGCCTGAGAAACCACCTCTGGGCCCCCAAATATGCAGGGGCAGGAAGTGGGCCAAGTCCCCAAGGAGGACGTTTTCCCAACACCCACTTCCGAGGAGGCCACGGAGGATAAGAACTGGGAGGCCCTTCACAGAGGCAGCACCAGGGCCACAAACCAAGGAGAGGGAGTTTCTCGAAGACAGTAGAGGACGGGGGTTAGGGAAGAAAGTTCCCCACCACAGGGGTAGAGTCTCACCCACTGCAGGGGGGGCTGGATTTCCTCAAGGCTTAGAACTAGGGGTCTTGGGGGGGGGTTTCCATTCCTCTCTTTTTTGCATGACAGGTTTTACTGTGATGGCTGACTCTGGCCCACTGGATTTGGGGCTGGGCTGAGCTGTGTGGTCCGTGAGATCGATTACCCTTTTAGTTCACGGGGATCCAGACCACATGTGGACACCCAGGAGCAAGTCTGGACCCAGCCAAGCGGGCCGCCATCTCCCAGACACCCTCCCCTTTGCGGTGACAGCCCTGAGGGGGTGAGGCTTCAGGGTGTCTCCCTTGGGGGGCGGGGGGAGGCGTGCTCTGCGGGTGTGAGAAAGAGTGAAATGGACTGTTGGTGACCCAGAGGCCACACTGGACACAGAAATCGCTAGCTGGTCTGGTCACCGCATCTGTTTCTGCTTCCTCCCCGGGGGCACGGCAAGGCCATACCTCCCAGCCTTCCTGGAAGCTGAGCCGGGGCCAGGAGACTGAGCTCCCGATGGCCGCGGGCAGAATCGCCGCAAGCAATGAGCGCCCCTCTCCACCCTGGCCCGTAGAACCCACCCGCGCGTGACCCCACCGTGGGTCACCTTCCGCTACTCGGGACCTCACCTGGTGGGGACAGTGTGGCTTCCAGACGGAAGGCCAGGCCCTGGGCGAGTGCTTGTAGAGGAGAAATAAATTTCTAGGTATTAAACCACAGGTGCTGTGGAGTTGATCTATTATGGCAACTGGTGTTATCTTAAGAAACTCTGGAATGTGAGCTCATTTGTGCTTCTGTGAATTCTGAGCTAGATGTGTGGGTCTGAGCGCGCGCGCGCCCGCGTCTGTGGGGTTAAGCCTCTGAGGGTCTCCCGTACGTATGCATGGGCGCAAAGCCTCCGAAGGGTTGTGCCTACACGGGGTAAGCGCACGAGCTGGCTCTGTGGGTCTGAGCCACGTGGGGGGCTTATATGAATCTGAGTGCTCGCGCATGTGTGTGCCCTCGGGGGTCTGAACAGCGGCATGTGCTCACCTGTGTGTGAACACAGAGGCATGCGTTTTATTGGGTCTGAACACGTATGTGCGGCCTGAGGGCCTGAGGATACGAGCCCATCTGTGAGCAGCTCATGTGGACATCTGAGCATACGAGTAAGCGCATTGGTATCCGTGGGTGCCCGTGCGGGCCAGTGTAGACGTGTGTGTGTGTGTGTGTGTGTGTGTGTACGTGTAAACACCACTGCAGGACTCCGTACGAGTGTGTATGCCCTGAAGGGTCCGACCATGTGTATGTCTCCAAGCATGTGTGAATCTGAATGTACGTGTCTCCGAGTGTGTGTGCGTGTGTCTCTGAACACGTGGGTATGAATGTAAGCATGCGTCTGTGTAAGACCAGGCACCTGTATGGGTTTGTGCGAACTTACTGGCAGGACACGGGAGGCCTGAACATGAGTGTGGACTTGGGTGGAGCCGTGACACGTGGCTGTATGGGTCTGTGCTTCTGTGGGTCTCAGTAGCCGTGTGTCTGTGTGTTACGGACGACACGTGTGTCTCTTTAGATCTAAGTGTGTGTGCGCCTCTTTTGGTCTGAGGTGCGAACGGCCTGTGACCGTCTAGGTTTGAACGTATTCACACCTGTGCGAGTGGGTGTGCGTGAGCTTGCTGGTAGATCCCTAAGTGTGTGTGCACGGATGTACGTGCGTGCGCCCCTGGTCAGACACGTGTGCACGCATGTAAACATGTGCCGCTGTGGATCTGAGTCCGTGTGCGCCCTTCCTCGGTGCCTCAAGGGGTGCAAACTCAAGTCCCCACAGGGGACCATACCCTAATGTGCGGGTCAGGCTGGCGAAGACAGCGAGGGGTGGTGGGCCGCGTTCCCCACGATGCAGAGCACGCCCCCGCTGAAGGCACTCCCTCTCAAAAGAATGAAAACACAGTGCCCATCAATCCATACCCTTCTTTGACTGGCTTGCCAACCTCACGTGAAATAACCACGTTGGACGATGATCTCACCGAACTACGGGAAGGAGGAGTGGGGCCTGGGGTCTGGGAAGGGGCCAGGGTGGAAAGCGAGTGGGGATGATCCCAGGCTTGACATCTGGACCCAGGGAGGAGGATCTGGCAGGTGGGAGGGATGCCAACGGCCTGGGGTCCCTGGGGTCAGTCCCTGGGTAGCCACTGTCTCTAGCCAGGCTGCCTCCTCCTCTAACACTGACCTCGGAGCCCAAAGAGGCCCGGCCCTGTGCTAGAGAAAAGCCTCCCTGCACCCGGGGCACAAGAGGGTCTCTGGCTGGAGTCCCCTTTCTCGGTAGACGGGGAGGGTGGCATGGTCTAGATCAGCCTGAGGGGCTCTGGAGTCATCTTGGTCTTTGCCTGGCCTCCCATCAGGATAAAACCCCAACCTGAAGCATATGGGACGGGTGTGTGTATGAAAATACACACACACGTGCCATGCACACCTGGAGGAGAACCTCTGGCTTCTGTCGGTCTCCTCTGGAGGCTTACGCGTACGCTCTGCCCTTATTTTCAAAGCCCGGTGCCAGGCTGTCCACC